ACTTCATCAAGCTTAATACGGCATATTCTGAGACCTTACAAAATGCCAAAAGCGCTGTACCCCAGGATGTATTAAGGAATCGTGTATCGATTTAAGTTCCTTCAAGGAAGAAGCAGCAGCACCACATACTCTGGATAAGGTATCCGCGAACTGTGTTTTCATTTCCAGGACAGTGTTTTATGTATTATGAAAAGGGAAGAAGTTCCATTTTCCACCTTATAATTTTATCGTTTTTAATTTTTCCGCAATTAGCAGGTTTAAACATAAAAGATACGGCTTGTTGATCAGTAATAATAGTAAAATGTTTACCGGCAAGGAGGTCTCTCCATTTCTTAACGATTCGACTATAGCATATGCTTCTTTTTCGACTATGTGAAGTCGTATTTCAGAGGGGTTTAGCGACGAGAAAAGAATGCTACAGGTCGCTCAGCTTGTAAAAGAGTGCCTCCAATAGCCTTTTTCTGAGGCATCGGTTTCAATAGTAAATGGCAATTCATCATCAATAACTTTTACAGATGACTCGGCAATGTCTTTCTTAGTTTTTTCAAAGAATTTATAACTATAGGAGGCATAGGGAATTGTTTATTTTCGACCAGTGGACGAATTTTGTGTGAATATTTAGGTATCCATTTAGCATAGTAAGCAAACATACCAAGACACCTTTTAACGAATTTAAGTCGGGAGGAGGAGGCATTTGTAAAAGTGGCTTCAAACGCTCAGGATCGGGTTGGATAGTGCCGTTACAAATTTGATATCCAAGCACGTTAATAGAACGAAGTGAAAACTGATTTTTCCCGGTTTATTTCGGAGGTTGTATGTCGAGGCAGCCTTTAAGAAACATTCCAAATTGACATCGTGCTCCTCCTGGGTTTTACCACAAACAGTTATATCATCTATATAATGAAAAGGTTCCAGATAATTGTTATCAGAAATGAAAGAATTCATAAATCGCTGAAAGGCAGAAACCCGTTAGTAACACCCATGGGTATTTGTTTAAATTGGTACAGACGGTTTCCAGCTTGAAAGGCCGTATAGGGACGATCTTCAGGGCAAATTTCAATCTGATAGTACGCTTTGGACAAGTCAATCATACTATAGATACGATACTGGGCTATTTGGTTTACGAGATCTTCAATTCGAGGCAAGGGGTAGGCATCAAGTAAGGTGAACCGATTAATAGTCTGGGAGAAATCGACTACCAATCGTTTCTTTTTATTAGGTGACGGTTACGACAATTTGAGCACGCCACGGAGAGTAACTTGTTTCAATTATATCATCCTTAAGCAGTTGTAGAATTTCTTTTTCAATGAACCGACCATCCTCCGCACGGTAATTTGGGATTTAGTAGCAATAGGTTTTGCAATCAGGGTCAAGTTTCGAACAACTTAACAGGAGCACAACTAATCTTGGTTAGAGCGCAGATTTTTAGAATATCCTGAGATCCACCAAAAGAAATAGTGATACTCTGGTGTAGTTTTAAGAAGGGCACTCCGAGTATAATATCCATACAGGAATCAGGAAGTAATGTAAAGTCAATTTGTTTATATTCGTAACCATTGAAGATAATGTCCTCAGTACAATATTCAGATAGTTTGAAGGAAATGGCAGATGAAGCCATGGAATTACGGAATTCCGTTTAGAAGTAGACAGTTTCATTGTTTTAACAATACGGGCACTGATAAAGTTATCAGAACTACCGGTGTCTATGAGGGCAGTTAATCTCTTTCCTTTTAATTCTAAAGTTTTAGTAACTGGAGGAGACCTATCATCGTCTTTAGCACGGGCTACTATAATAGCTGAAGTAGAACGTGAAGGTGCCGGCATGGTAGAACGGCAAACTTTAGAAAAATGACCAAGTTTGCCACAGTTTCGACATCTTATCACGGGCAGGACAATAGCGATGATTATCCTTAAAGTGACGTTTTCCTCCAGTTGTAGCACTTGCCACGAGCAAAGGCAGCAGACAATTGTACAGTCACACTCCGTACGAGAATCAGTTAAGTCTGAAAGCATATTTTTAGTAATAGTAGTGGAAGTGGCCTCCTTGGCAGAATCAGTAAACACATTTTTAGTCCTAGTGGTAGTAGCAGCAGTTGATCCAATCTGAGAAGTGTATGACTCACGAAAGTGAGCCTGTTCTAAGGCTCTAGCACATTGAGTAGCCTCCTTGAGAGTTAGCGTATCATTTTCAAGCAGTCTGGCACGTATTACGAGGGACTGAGACCACGATAAATGCATCACGGACAGATTCATCCCTGTAAGTAGTAGCAGTAACATCTTGGAAGCAACAGTAAGTCGATTCAAGGCCTGAAGGTATTGGTCTACAGACTCATTTTCCTGCTGCAGACGTGTAGACAACAAATGTCTAGCGTGAATAATACTTGGAGACTTGTCATAAACACTTCTCAGCAATTCAACAGTATGTTCAAATCCAGAACAACCCTCGATAACATCAGCAACGGTAGCACTGATATTTAAATAAAGGACTTCGAGTTTGTCAGGGTTTAACGAAGCAATAGTTGATAAGTAATAATTAAAATTACGGTACCATAGTCTCAAGAGCTTGCTAGCCTGAGGGTCTGCAGAAGATATATCAAACTTGTCCAGATGAATAATCTTGTCCATGAGGAAGTAAGTTCAGTAAATTGTTACGTTGCTCAGAGAAGAAAGCTAGTAACCTTTCCCTAAGGCTTTACTGAACTTAATTCACAGCAGCAATCAACAAAGGAAGAAGAACGCAGCTTTTAAAGAGGAATGGGGACGTGTGAAAAAGTCACGTGGACAGTAAAGATAGTTTCCTTATTTCTTTTCTTTACGAAAATATAACAGGTTTATTACAATATAAGTGGCATGGTGGGTCCTAGCCGTGAAGAATGTAGTTCGTTCAAGCACTTTCCATGGAAGTAGCGATGGGGCAGCAAGAGGCTTGCCATATCCTTCCTGTGAGAGAGAATTTGTGGGTGGAAAATAATATCACCTGCAGGTATTTGGAGAGGCTTTTGAACGCTATCAAGACTGTAAAGCTAGGACTGGGCAGCCCCCACCTGAATATGATAACTACTTCATTTTTGGCCTGATCTGGCTGTTCTAAAGGTAGAGGATAGCATGAGGATTCAGGTACTTACTGGAGCAGAACAGGGAGCCTTCCATTAGCTGTCTTTATGTAAATTCTACACCTGTTGACAACTAAGATTATCCATTATGTCTGTTTTTCTCTTGATCACCCTTTGCTTGTATCTTCCCATTTTTTCCCCCCTTATCCTTTCCAGTCTCTGTTGTCTATCCATATTTTTATCTGTTATAAAAACATGGATTAATTTCAAGTGTTAAAATACACAAACCATTTCTACATGTTCTTGTTCTCCCTACAATGGCTTTTTAATGTCTAACAAGGTGTTTATAACTTTAGATTTGTTGCTTCTTGTCTCATTATAGGGGGGGAGACCATGGTGGCTATCTTTCTTTTATTTCCATACCCCCCTCTCTATAGTTACCATTTAATTTGGTTTTCTCTTCATTTTTCTCTAGGTTTTTTTTTTTTTTTACCTCCTACCTTTCCTCTTTTTCCCCCTCATTTTCCCCCATTTAATTTGTAGGTTCCTTGGTTAGAATGCATAACTGATTTCAGCCCTGTTTGGTTAGATATAACATATGGTTAAATGTTAAAGATGAGGGTGTGGATAATGACCATACCTTTTTTTTTTTAAGCATTTCACCCCAAGCAAGATGGGAGTTCCACTAGCATGAAAGGGGTGACAGACAGGTTTGAGTTGAGGAAAGGATATAGAGAAGGATGGGGATCAAGGCATCAGAAGACGTTGATTGATATTACATTTAAATTTTTGAAGATTATAGTTATCAGGGAAGCAAGTAAGAGGAAGAGAGTTCCACTGTCAAGAAGTGCAAAAGAAAAAGAAGATGGTGTAGAAGAGATGGTTACATTTAACTGTTTTGACAAGAAAAGGCTGGGAACCGAGATGCCAAACTGGTAGCACGCTTAAATTCATGCAGTTGGGGAACTAGTGGAAGTAGCTCATCAGAGTAGTTGCCATGAAAATATTTGTAGAAAAGACAGAGGGAAGCCACATCTCATCTGAGAAAGTGAATGGATTCAAAATGCCAGGTCAGGACCTATCACATTGTATATCCGTCTTTGGATTTTGTTGAGAAGCTCAAGATGAACCTACCAAATATTTAACTAATTAGGCAGTTATTAGAGGTGCCCTGTATTTCCTATTTAGGCCTTGATGTACACAAATATTTAGTTGCATTACCCCCCTCCCTCCCATGCACATTTAAACTAAAAGGTATTCTGTGGCTGTTTGTGTTTTACTAAATTTTTTTCTTTCTCTAGTCCGAAAATGTAGTGGGGTGGATAGGCTGAGGCTGGTTATCACTTACTATCTTATACCTAGCTAATCAGATTTGCATGCCCATTTACTCATTACAATTTGCATGCCCACCAAAAGAACTTCATCATCATCCAATCCTCCATATACCACATTATTCTCTGGAGACTTACAAAAACACCCCATGACGATTATAAAATTCTATATACAGAAATCTGTGGATGATAGAAAATGATGGGGTAGGGAATGAACCCAAAAACAAATACACAAAATAAAAGGTTAACTGATGTTAGTTGGACCTGTCAAACCCTCAAAAGAATTCAGAAAGGCTGCTGTATTCTGCCTTTAGACAAAAATCAAGAGGCTCTCTCACTAGGGGAGAGGAAAAGGATAAAATAAATATGGTCATGGGGAAAGAAGAACGCTGACCAAGATGAGATGAAAAAAAGAGGGCCAAAAACAAACTGGGTTGGTTGGGAATCTTGATTTGGATGATAACCAAAGTAAAAGCCAGGAACGACACATTAACTAAGTACACAAAAAAGGGTTTGTCTTTGTTGTCTTGTGTTTGCCTGCTTTTATATTTATTCAGTTCAGTCTTGGAAAACTTTTTTTTTTTTAATAAATATTGCTCTCATTTCCCCCCCACAGGTGTTGGTCTGCTTCCAACAAGTAGCAGCAGAAATGATGGGCCTGAAACTGACCACAGCCGACCATGAACTTCAACAACGGGTTGTCACAGCCCAAATTGAGAATGCCGAATCAGAAATTCAGGCAAGCAGTTCCAACACTTGGAACACATCCCCACGAAGCCCAATTTGCTTGCTACAGTGACTCCCCAATCAAGAGGGGAAACATCACTTCTAAATGGTTCTTTATCTGAGAACAGCAGCGGGCAAGTGAGGAACCCTGATAACACATAACATGGATAGAAAAGAGGAGGTTTAGCCGCCCCCACTAAAATAAGGCCGCTTTAACTTAGTTTAAAATGTTTAAACAGTTGTATTTGTTTCTAATTTGAGAGAAGGTGGATTTGGGAAACTGTAAACAACTTTTTCAACTGAGAAAAAGTGAATCATTTGTTTTTGTTTTCTGGCTTTTCGGTCAGAAAGTCTGACACAATTCACATCTTCAAATTTTTTGTTTCTGGCAGAAAAATAAACTTTCATTTATCAAAAGTTTCATTTGTCATTTTATTCTTAAATAAATAAAATTCTCTTTTACATGTTGTGTGTGCATCTATTTTTGACTGTCAATGTGTTTTCTTTCACAGCTTTTGGTGAAAGAGAAGTTTACTGCATGAATAATTTTTTAAAGAATTTAATTCTTGTTAACTTTCATTGAGATATTTCAATCTTCTAAAGAAGTGATGGATTTTTATTTTATTATTTTAAGAAAATGAGCAGATATGTATATCTTGTGAGCCTGGGAAAAAAATTTGCATTTAATGGCAAAGTGCATCAATGATCAATTGATGCACTTTGCAGTTGATAGTTTTAAAACATGTCAGCTTTCACAATTTTTTTCCCTGCCCAGGAGGAGGTAGATTCAAAGCCTGCCAGAGAGTACATTTTTCTTTAAGATTTCTCTAATATTCAGGTTGGTAGACAAAACAAATAAATATAAGGTGTAATAAATAAACAGTGTCTACTCTAGATTCCTTCACTAATTTGCTATATAAAAAAAAAAAAAAAATATAACAACAGACATGTGTGACACAGACCTCAGAGGGTTGATAAAAAAAGAAGGGAAGAGAAAACTAACTGGATGGTAATTGTTGAAATTCTAAAGGAAAGTGGATTGAAAAATTAAAAACGTGTTGAAAAATGTTTCAAAAGAAGAAAATTAAATCCCAAACAGTTCCAAGGAGAATTGAACCCAAATTTAATTAGACAGAATTCAGTAAAATTGATCAAAACCAAGGCTACCAGTCCTTCCTGCTGATAACAAAGAGACAATATATATCTTCTTGGTTGTCATTCCTGGAAAATAGAAAAATATATCAATAAGGAAACCCAGGTGGTCACTGAAATAATATTAAGATTGTTCTTCTGGACAAGAACTAGGAAAGATATCTGGTTTGAATCGACCACCCAGAAGAAAAATACCCCTACAAAAATAGAGATTAGCACATAAGAATTTCTATGGCCAACATTATCATTTGTACCCAAAGGAATCTGAAATAAAAAGAAATTAATTACAATCTCTGGGGTGAGCATAGGCAACTAACTGTGGGGCCGGGTCGATTCAGAAGTCATTTACTAGAGTAAAAATATTTAGAAAACATGGAATTTTAGAAAAAGGTTGAGGCTAAAGGTGGAAGACAAGTAGACCCCTACTGGACTCCATATAAGTTGGAGGTTTGGACAATTTAGAGTCCCCACATTACTGCTACTAGAATCCACATAGTTTGCCAAGACCTGAACTTGCAAATTTAAATTACTACTAACACAATCTGTAAACAGGGGATCCCAGTGACATTTGATTATAAAAAGTGGGAAGGGTTCAAGTAATTACATGCATTTTTATTTTATGATTTAAAGCAGATTTTTGGTTAATGGCAGTTGACAAAAAACAATGTTTTACATTGTTTATACTAATACAAAAAAGAAAAAAAAAAGTGGAGCTAAATGATATATATATATATATATATATATATAAATAAATTTGAACCTGTATCCTATATGAACCGTCATTTAGCTTGACATGCCTTTACCGATTTGAACACAAAGGAGTGTTCAGTTAGCAAGGTTGAATTTACTGTATTTAAACTTCAATCTTCCATGAAAGCTAAATGAGGGTTCCATATAGGATACAGGTTCGAATCCTGAGGAAAAAAAAAAAAAAGGTAGGTGTGGGGGACAATAATAAAAAAAAAAAATTAATTTTGGTCTTTTCTCAATAATAAATGTTTTGACAGAACTGTATCAAGTTGGGGACTTTTTTTTCCTCGTACTTTTTACAAAATTTTTGTGAGGTACCTATATAAAAGTCAACTTATAAGAGTTTTTTTCAGACATCAAGTTAAATTGCACTAACATCACTTATCCTGATTTGTCAAAGGTTAAATTTTGGTCAGTTTTTTTTATTTCATCTTTAATCTAAATATAAAGTGGAAATTAGGGGTCCCAGTACTTCTGAAGAAGTCGTTGAAATAGTGTAGAGAATTATATAATGTAGTAATAAGAATATAGAGTTAAACAAAACCCTACCAGGAACCAGATGTCTCAAGGAAGTGTGTGTGGGGGGGTGCTCCATAAACAAAATGGAGTTTTCTTTTCTTCCAAAATAGTTTATCCTAACTCTCCACTTGACATTCTATCAAGATGTAGGTGCTTATTGCTCTCCACAGCCTCCTGTTATCTTAGTCTTAGCAATACCTTCCTTGAAGATGTCTTTTTCTATTAGTACGACTTCTTCCACAATCCAGGTGTTCAAACTTCCTGCGTTTCTCTTGCTTTTGATATGTCCTGCATTAAATTCTACAAACTTTCTAGGGTTTCCAAAATTTCACCAGTTTCTTTGTTGCTGCTATTCTATAAGATTTTCATATAAGCAACAGGTTCTTTTATATTCTCAATATTTGGACATCCATTTCAAATCATGCTGTATTGCTTGCTTTAGATGAATTATACACAGATCAATTTAAAAGAGTCCTCATCTTGATTATAGTCCCAATAATTGTGGCCATTGTACTCATTTACCTTCAGGTAACAGTCATTCAATAATTCTTGGGAGATACAAGCTGAACTTTTTCTCCAATGCACAACAGATGCCTGAAGTGTCATTATAACATAAGTTTAAATTGGGTAATGGTTAATTGCTCCCATCAGAAAGTGATGCCTTTTGACATGAGTAATGAATATAGGTACCTCCACTAAAATTACAGTACCTAAGGTTTAAATTAATTTTTAAAAATGAAAAAGCTATGTTGAAGCTTTCATTGGAAATTCGATTGGAAATTATTTTTTTTTTGTTTTAACATCAATGTCAACCATTTTTAAGAGATTTGTCACAAATTAGTTCTAAGTTTTAAAAATCTTGCAAAAGTGAAACACTTAACTTTATTTGAGGAATATTAGCAGATTTAAACATTTAACTTTAAAATATTGCAGAAATTATTTTATTTTTATTTTTTTTTAAAAACCAACAATAGCCATGTTTACGTGTTTGACAGAGTGATGACAGATTTGATGTTCTATGGAGACTTTCTATCACCTTCCTCCCATCCCTACTTAGAAGATATTGCAAAACAATATTCAGTTTACCTTGGCAAGGACATTTTCCAGGCTAAAGACTTTCAGTAACAGAAGATATAGGTCATGACATAGTAAGCTCCTTGGATACACGACAAGGTATATACTAGGAGTGTGCTATGGAAAGGCATGTTTTTTTAAATGAAGACCCTTATAAGGAAATAAGTGAAACACTATCAACAACAAAAATGATTTTAACGAATGATACAAAGTTTATTTTATTCATGACAAGATGTTTTATTTACATTTTAAGATTTAAAACCTTGCACGCACTCATTTGGAGCTGGCGTGAATTTAAGAGAAGAAATTTATTTACAATCTCAAAGTGGGGAAAAGAAAAAAAGAATCATTCATGTCACATGCACACAGAAGCAAAATTTTCTTTTCAGAGAAAAGAAGAAAGAAAAGGATTTATTCAGGCCATAGGTATTTGGCCAAAAATAAAGTCACTGAAAGACTCAACAATTACAATAGTTATTAAATTCTATAATTGGGCTTCCATAAATTACTGTTTAGCTTATTGTCCCGACCCCTAAAAGTGACTGCATCCCAAAACAGTTTGCCAGGATTTCTGTGGAAAGATCCTAAATTAATTTAATTCAAAATAAAGCTGCTTCTAGCACTGTAGAATAAGCTAAGGATCCGACACTTTTTCGAGTAATTCATCACAAATCTTTGTGAGTTCTTGAACCTGGTTGGTCTGAAAAGAAAAAATATAAAATCATTAAAACTAGAGAAATAACAAAAAAAAAAAAAAAAAAAAAAAAAAAAAAAATTTTTATTTCAAATAAAAGACTGATGCCACAAACTCATAATACTATATATCTCTCTTACATTGAAGGCAGTACAAGCAAAAACATATTGGCTTACCTTCATTTCTAGCTCTGATTTTAATTGTGAAATTTCCATATCTTTTCTTTTGACCAAGGCTTGAAACCGGGAAGTGTCAGTCTCTAGTTTTTTCTTTAGGGCATTCAATTCAGATTGTAAACTGAAAATACTTTTGAAAAAAAAAAAAAAAAAAAATTACCATCAAAATAAACTTGAAATTCCAGATCTAAATCTCAAAGTTTAAATCTTTATTCCTAAGTTTTGGCAGTTTATCAAAATCCAATGAAATGTTACATTGTTGCCAAATAAGATTGGAATCAAAAAATTTCAACTTATCTATATCTTTGTTTTAATAAAAATTAAAATTTAAGAACCTTTAAAACTATCATCTTTGAAAAAAGATTTTTAACACAATTAAATTAAGTCTCTTTGCAAAAAGCCTGGAAACAAGAGAAGACACAAAGCTGATTTGTGCTAAAACATTTCACACTAACACTATATTAAGAGGGCAAACAAAGTTTAGCACTTCAAAAACTCACTTTGTTTTATTTTCCTGATTTTCCTTTTCCAAACTGGCATTGGCTGCTACTTTTTCTTTCACATTTGTCAGAAGTTCCTTGACATGGGTCTTTAACACTTCTTCATTCTGGACAGAGTTGAGAATAAATAAAAATAAAAATAAAAAACCATCATTTACATGTGGAAATTTTGGTTGTCATTGCTTTTAGTTGGGTTGGAAGTAGTACC